TGGCAAATAGGGAAACAACAGGAGAGATTTGTCTTGGCTTTATACAGTTCGTGACTTTAAAAAGCCTTGGACCTGGATTGCAGTCAGATCTACATCTTGTGTGTACAGGCTCCTCCAGCTCACCTACAGAATATTTCCTGTAAACATCTGTCAAGGTTTATTTTTACCCTTGCATACATGTATGTGCAAGGCCCAGAGATTCTGGGCAGTTGGCAGCAGGCAGAGAACTGTGGCTTTTGTTCCAAAAATCACAAACTGTTCCCATCCATCAAGGTAAAAGAACACAGTGTGGTAGTGCTGCGTGCTGCTGCAGAGGGAGACTGGGCTTGTGTCTGGACAGATATCCTGGGAGAGTTCACGTGTACAGACTAAAATATTTGTGCTATTCCCTTGCTTTTTTTTCTGATAGTATGTGATTAAGAGTCTTTGTTGCAAAAATGAAATCTGTGTTTGCATTGTAAGGAAGGTGATTTATTGTGCTGCCAGATTTTAGCTCTCAGGAATAACGGATGAGGTGTGCTCTGGCAGCCTCACTCTTCATAGACTTCAAGGTTCATTTATTTATTACAGGAGTGTTTTCCTGGTCATTGTTCCAAACAGCAAATGATTCACTGAGTTTGGTATTTGCCTACCAAAGCCTTTTCCTCCGCTGGTGAACCAGGGGATGCTGAGACACAACACGCTTGTAAATGAGTTAGTGGGATGTGGATGGTTTGGTAATAGCCCATGTTCAAATCCTCCAAGTCCCTTCTGTAGAACTCTCACTTGTTTCTTTGTAGATTGTGTATAAAGAAGTGGAGAAATCCCCATCTGTTGAAACAGAGAGACTTTCTTTCCCTCCAACAAGAGCATTGGCTAGTTCTCTCTTCAGCACACAAAGTAAATGTAAGCCAAAGTTTACTACAACGAGATGCTTGAGTTTGCCACGTGAAGTCTTTCTAGAAGTAAACACTATAGGTGAACTCTGCCCCTTTGGTATGAATGGCTCCAGTGGGTACTCTGAAGGGCAGTGAATCAGTGCTGCACTCTGCTAGAGGGGCTGCTGTCTGCAGGGTGGTTTGAAGGCAGGTTAAAGATCAGCAGGATACTGTGGAAGAGAACTGTAATTGCTCAGGTGTTGCAAGAACAGCCAGATCTTGCTCTCATAGTTGCTGGCAAAAGTTGTCCTAGCATTGTGTGGGTTTCTTCTGCCTTGTTCCATCTCTGTGATGTTATTTCATGACTTAGTTTAGCTGTTGCAGATAATCATTGGAATTGGATGAACTACTGCTATTAATCTTAGCAGAATGTGTCAGTTCCAGTAATAGAATCAATAATTAAAATAGAATAATTGGATATTCTGCTCTTGCTGTTTGCTTTGGGATAGTAATTAATCCCAGTAAAAAAGCAGAGCATGATGAAGGCCATTTGGCTTTTGTCTTAGAAGCTGTAGTTGTGGCAGTGCTTTAAACTTGCCTCCAGACAACAGAAGTATTAGAGAGGTGGCAGACAATGGAGGATTAGTATTCTTTTTTGATATTCACTGTTTGCAGTGCTGTGAATCACCTTTGGTTTGCATTGGTGTTTGTTTGAAATACTAGTGAAAAGAGCAGAAAACTTGATAGCCTATTTTTTGGTAGTTTAATCTCAGGCAACAGTGAGTGTTTACGTGAAGATGCCTTAACTTAAGACAGTGGAAGTTTTAATAGGAACATCTGGGAGAAGAGTAAAACGCAGCCATGTCATCTCAGAGATAAGGGGTGTTTTAACAGTTGGAATGTAAATATTTTGTCCATTCAGGCTTGATTTCTTCTCTTTCAAATTCCAGATGACATTTCCGAGGTGCCACTCTCTTTGCACTATGCCAAACCAGCTGCTGACAGGGCAAATCCCAAAATGGGCATTGGGATGTTGGCATTCAGTCCGGATAACTGCTTCCTGGCTACCAAAAATGGTGAGTTCCTGCTGCCCTACACTGAAGGGGAAACCTGCTACCAGCATGTGGGGTTTAAAGTCAGCTCTGTTGTGCAAACATGCTACTACAGAGGAAGTTCAGCCTATGCCTTCTAGCATACATAAAGTGTTGTGAGCTGCTAGAGCTACTTATCAGTGCATTAACTCAGCCTTGGCTTTGTATTTAGTAAGTAGGATGCTTTTTATATATCCCTTTGAATGTAGGTGAGCTTGCTGTACTAGAAAATGAAAGGCACAAGTTTCTGCCTCCATTTACAGCAAGTGTCTCTTGAAAGGCAGAATTCTTCACAACCTGTAGTAGGGGGTTTTGATTAGTGAGTCATGGATTTAACTTTCCATCTTTTCCCTTCACTGCTCCTGAAGGGCTGCCTGTGTTTGTGCCACAGAAGCTGTGGTTCTGGAGGGCAAACTAAGTCACTTTTTAATCCTTTTTGCAGTATTTCTAAGGCAAAATTGAAGGCAGTGCTGGGCAACACTCTGGTGGTGTTACACCTGTAGTGTACCCAAATGGTTTTTGGTGTGTTAGACCTCAGTAATGCCCATTTGGTAAAAAGATTACACTACTTATTTGAGCCTTCAGGTATAAATGTGATTACCTCTTCCTTTTCCAACAGATAACATTCCTAATGCTGTCTGGATCTGGGACATTCAAAAGCTGAAGCTGTCTGTAGTCCTGGAGCAGCTGTGTGCCATCCAGTGCTTCCGGTGGGACCCCCGACAACCCCGCCTTGCTGTATGCACAGGGAATAGCAATGTCTACTTGTGGTCCCCAGCTGGCTGCGTGTCAGTGCAGGTCCCAGTGGAAGGTAAGGCCTGTGGGAGCTTCCACAAGCCATCAGCAGCTTTACTGACTGTTTTTCCACTTACCAGCCTGCTCTGTTTCTGCAGGTGACTTCCCGATTGTGTCTCTCTCCTGGCATTCCAGTGGGGACTCCATGGTGCTTCTGAGTAAGGACAACTTTTGTGTGTGTTACTTGGAAAAAGATGAGGTAAAATAACAACCTTTTGCATTAAACTGCTCACAAGATTGAGGAGGAATGAGGACTGGGATCAAACCCTGTTGCCCAGTGTGAAGGTCTTGTATTTATGGATTATTTATTTGAAGGAGCTTACCCAAACTCCAGTGTGTGAAGTATTGTGAGTGCATTTGAATGAAGTGATGTAGCAACTTTGTGTAGAGGATGAAATCTGGATTGCAAGGAAACTGTAGTACTGATGTATTTAAACTTTATCAACTATGAAACCTTGTTTTCTAAAACTGTAGCTGTGTGTATATAATGTATAGCTATTTAAATTTTATAATTTCCAATAAATACTTTGATAGTTACAAACTTTCTATGACTATCTGCATTCTGAGGTCTGGTTCTCTGTGATCAGTGAGGTGATTAATCCTAGCACAAGGAGTTACTTGCACACACCACTGTGCAGCTTGTATCCAGGCTGGTAAGACAGGAGACTCTTCTGGTATATTACAACTAAATATTGTAGCAGAAGAAGATACATCAGGAAGACACTTTCTAGGGAATCAGTTCCTGTTAAAGCAGAACAAGTTCTGTGTTCAGAAAGCAAATGAAGCCCCCTGCAGTAGCAGTAATTGTGTTTTTCCAGACTAAGAGTTAACGGATGACAGTAATTGCATCTGGTCTACTATAGATTTACTATACTGAATCTTTGTAAGAAGAGTCATAACTTACTTTAGAATGATACACTAAAGGCAACTGAAATAGGAGCTTTTGACCCAACTATAGTGCCAGATGGGATTGGATGGTTGGGCAGGGCAGGAGCAGTTGGACTGTCTGGTCTCTATAACCTGTGTAGCCAACTGCTGGATCCATCAGAGGAATTTACTGGATGTTTTTTCTTTTGCTACTTAATTTCACAGCCTCAGTCTCCCCAAAATGAAGAAAAATGAACAAATTGAGTTAAATTTTAACTTTACTGCAAGATTAATGAAAATTAAATAGGTATCATAGAAAATGCATTGGGGGCATGCAGCTTGTTGCATTCCATCATGACTTCAGCTTTACAGAGGTTTCATAAAAGCACATCTTAGTCCAAAAACCACCACTGCAGCACAGCGTTTATTCAGCATTGTAGTTGTGCAGAGAAATGCCCTGATAAAACAGCACATCTAGAAGGTCACATGGAATGAAAGAGGTGGCCAGAGTAACCTCGGGAGCAGTTTCTGTTGCATTCTCTTAAACTGCTTCTGAATTTCATTACTGGACATCTGTGTGAGGTGAAGTGTAAATCAAGATTGGCACCAAAGTTTTACCTGTCTCCAGCAGGAGTCCTGCCCTGCTGCTCTCTCAGACTTGATTTAAGAAAAACTGTTAAGAATATAGATCTAATCAAAATAGAATTCCTTTTCACTTTTATAAATAATAGCTTTGAAGGCAGATGTGTTGGTGAGGCTTTTGGCAATAGTCTCTCAATGGAGCCTTTATTCTGTGGCTGCAGCAAGCACACACACAAAAAGTCAGGAAGCCAATTAACTCCTATTCAGGCATAGCTCATGTGGACTGCTTCTGAGCAGATGCAGTAGGGGAGTTTAACACTATTAGCTGACTGTTTAGCTACAGGATGACTTCACAGGCCTTAATGTGCTAAGGTGCCTGGAACTGTGACCACTAACATCTCTAAACAATGTGAATCAAGCCCAAGCACACTACAAGGTTTGACACCAAACACAGGGATACAGCTGTAACATGGCATGAATGTCTTGCTGTGTCTTAGATGCTGTGCAGAGTGGTTGTAGCAGATTCCCATTACCCTTAATTAACATGTAGTTAGAAGAACATGTAATTAGAAATGAAAAATAACTGCTGCTAGCTAGCCCTGTGTAAGAACTGTAAATCAGACATAAAATGAGTGACACTACCTTGTGTCTGCATCAGATTAACCTGGCCTGTGTGTTCTCTGAACAATCCAGGCCTCTTGTGAACCTCCACTTCTCCAGCCCTTTTGTGTTCCCCTGACTTCCTCACTTTGATTATCTAGTGTTCTGCTGCATGGCATGCTCTCCCCAGACCATACCAAATCACTTGCCCTTGAAAAGATGCCACACAATGAGTTTTAAAAACCAATTTTGCCTCTTGTCATGGAGTAGCCAAGCTTGGCCTCGTTGTTGATAAAGGACATCAATCCCAGGTAGGTCTCAATCAGGAGAGGACGCTCCAGCACGAGCACACCATTTGCCCTTCCTGGCAATGGAGACTCCTTATGGGCTTTCTTCACAGCCTGGATTAGCTGAGTTTTGAAGTTCTCCAGCTGAAAGAAGAAAAGTCATGCTGGTGGTGGTCCTTTGTTTTAAAGATGGACAAACAGCTGCTGATGGTGACTTGTAAAGGCTGAATGCCGAAGCTGTCGTCATGATAAATTTGTTCTGACATTTAACCTTAATGATACAGTTAATACCAGGACTCTATTTATGTGTAACTTAAAGATTTGCCAGTGACTAACACTGTTTATTTCTGATTGCCCTTATCACTGATGTGCAGAACATAAATTACCATGGTGGTTATTTTTAAGTGAAAGCAACTATTGCAAGTAAAATGGAGAACCACCTAAGTGAAGGTTTGCACTCAGCAATTAAACTGTTTGTTTAATTAGCTGGCAGTCCTAGAAGTCATCAGGCATCAGCCTGTTGGGTAAGTCAGAGGAGGAGCAGCACCGAGACCCATTTTCTGTTGGGTTTTATGGGACTTTGCACCTGTGGAGATTTCAGCCTCCTCCTCCTCATAGCAACTATTTGCAGGAGCTGCCCTGCAGGTCAGAATCTGATGAATGGGGAGATGTAGTTACAGCTCCAAGTTCCATCTCTTTGACTTAACTATTTAACTGCTGTATCTTTTCAAAATCATCCAAGTCATGCCCAGCCTACAAGCTCAACAACCCACCTAGAACCGGAGAGGCCAGTTCCTTACCAGGCAAAGGGAGGCCACCTTCTCATCAGCGTCTGCCATCGGGTGTTCAGTGAAGGTGACGTACGGGATGCTGGTGGACCACGGGTTCCATCTGTTGATGAACGAGGCACGACTCTGCTTGTCCCACTGAATTCGAATTCCAACACCTTCTCGCCTGACGTTGAAGACAGCACAGTTAACAGGGTAAGACTCTGGAGTCTTTGAGGCCAGTTTAAGTAGAAACACGCTGTCTGAAACAGAGCTAGAAACTGAAATAGAAGTTTGGTAGGAAGTGTTTCCTCTAGACCAGTAAGAGAAGAATTTGGCCTCTGAAATGTGCAAAGACATGTTCTTACAAGCTGAGGGCAAGAAGGTTATGCTTGTTAGATGCCCAGGACCCAACATCTGAACTACATTGCCTGTGATGGCCTGTGTTTGATGTGTGACCTGACATTTACACATGGCTTTCTAGTAATGCTAAGGTAGTGGTACTACTACTGCTTCTACTCACCGCACTACATAGAATCATTAGAGTTGAAAGGGACCTTAAAGCTCATCCAGTTCCAATCCCCTGCCATGGGCAGGGACACCTTCTACTACAGCAGGTTGCTCCAAGCCCTGTCCAACTTGGAATGCTGATGGCAATGAACTTCTGCTCCCAAACCTACTCATCTTACCTCAGAAGTCCTTAAGCAACTTGCTTTTAATGTAACTACTGGTTGTCCCAGCAAAACAGCAGCTACCCCAAGGTCTTATAGTAAGGCTGCGCAATAGTTTGCAAAGTCACGTGAGCAAAAGGAGAGTTCTCAGCCATGCCCAGCAGTCAGGGACAAAGGCTGACAGCTCAAACTACTCATAGTAACAACACAAGAGTTGAAATAACACTGCAGCGTTACTGCATCAACTCACTTGTTCAGAGATTTAGATGGGAACTCGAACTGTCCAACTGAGATGGTATCAACGGCGCTGAGGGCGATCCTCGTCACGTGCTGGCACTGCAGGCTGATGAAGTTGTATTTGCAGATCAGGAGGGACCAGTCTGTGATGAGAACCAGACGCTCCTTCTCATTGTTCCAGTGATCGATCCTGGCAAGGCAAAAGGACGGACTTGAGCGGTCTTGGCCATGGGCAGAAGAGTCGTGAAGGAGAATGAACCCGTTCCATCATGGCCTTTGCTTTGGGTCAGCAAGTCTGACAAGAGGTGGAGTGTCATGACAGGGGAAAATACTAAGAAAATCAGAGTAAGTGTGAGGATTCAGAGCATCTGCTCCAGCTATTGCCTGTTATTTGAGAACAAATGCTCCTAAATGGGGCAGATGAGCGTGTTTAACACCATGCCAGTAGCGTGTTGCCACGCTTGCTGAATTAACCGGAGTGGTGCATGCTCAGGGGAGAGAAATAGCTTCCTTTACCTGTGTCATCTGACTGTGTTTTCCTCTGTAAGAACAGCCTGTACGTAGAAAAACTTGTCAGTTTCTTCACATTTCAGAGATAAAAGATTTTACCTTTACCTGCTGTTGAACCATCGCAGCTATTATACTGTGCCATTCTTAGGGCAACCTAGGAGTAAGTTGTATTTTCACTCTAAGGGTCATAAGATTTGGAACAAGTTAACATAGGGGCTTCCCCTTGCCCTTGGGTGGGTTTGAGCTGCACAGGAATAGGAGCATGATGCAGCCACCCTTGGCCTCTGCAGGGCTTTCTGTTCTGCAAGTGTCTAGAACCGTGAAGAGTTAAAGCAGAGCAAAGCAGGTATGTGCAGGTTGGGGGCCGAGGGGCCGGGCAGGGTGGAGGGAAAGGCAAAGCGGGGTGTAGGGCCCGGGTGGGGATGGAAGCAAGGCCGCGGTTGGGTACGGGCAGCACTCACTCC